AAAATAAAGATTATTATTATTATTATTAAAAGGTTTCTAATGATACAGCATGTTAAAACTGCATAACATGTGGCTAAACCCTCTATGAGAGGGCGCTTCGATCTCTCAAAATTGAATAGGGAAGAGGGGTTGAGTGATACTTCATTTGTAAGGTCTTGGAAGCGTCTTTACAACGGTGTATGAAAAAAATCACATTCCTAAAAAAAATTAATTGTTTCATCATGTTTACAATCAAAAAAATCAAAACTGCGTTTTTAAATCAAATGTTCAAATTGTCCTCCATTGACTTCCATACAATAATAAATTCTCTCGAACCAATAAATAAAAAAAAAAATCAAAACATTTTCTTATCTTGCCTTCATTTTTTGTTCTTAGAAGGTGTTTATCACATTTCTTCGATCATTTCATGTGATAAAACAATTAATTTTTTTTAAGAATGTGATTTTTTTTTATACACCGTTGTAAAGAGGCTTCCAAGACCTTACAAATGAAGTATCACTCAACCCCTCTTCTATATTCAATTTTGAGGGGTTAAAGCGCCCCCTCATAGGGGGTTGCTCGATCAAGCCTCAAATGTACGTCAAAAAATTGCCCCCAAAGAAAATCATCTGACGTGTTTCGGAAAATTTTTCCAATTACTATGGGATAAGAAATATACGCGGTGGCTCGTCTGAGATGGAACACCCTGTATGTATACTGATAGGAGGCGAAACTTTTTGTTAGAGAATTTCGAAAAATAATTAATTGTTTATTGTTTTAATAATTAAATTAATTATTTAAAAAATGTTTTGTTTTATTTGAAACTACCGCGTTAAAAAACAAATGATCGTGAAAATTAAAACATTAATTTTTAAATAATTTCATGTTTCATTTTTTGTTCTTTATTTTAACTAAATTTCTTTCATATATATGATCATATTTTCTACTTTTTTTTCTTCATATTTGCCTCACCTTAGTCTTAGTGATAAATATTAATTCCTATTATTTTTAGTTTTCCAGATATATTTTTAAAACCAATATTACAATTAAAATTACAGACAGTCAAACGTTTCAAGAAGCTCTCCTGTAAGATTTTGTAAAATAGACTCAGTACTCTTTAGCTCTAAGGTCCAGATATATTTACGCATCTCCCTCGTATATAATATGAAAAATTAATAACTATAAAACAGCATTTCTGAAGCTACATAGTTTTTATAGCCATAAAATTATTTACTCATTAAATATTTAGGTATACCTATTCAAAATTTGCGATTACTACTTTTTATTTCAATGCATTCATACTCCTACCTTTACACGAAAAATCGACCGTATAACCGAACACAAGCTGAAAAAAAAACCTAATAATTTATTCTAGTCAACAAATGTTCAGTAAACAAGAGAAATATTTAGCTGTTTTATAAAGATTGTAGGGTAGTGCATAGTAGGTATTTTGCATAGGAAAACAAACCTTTCATTTCAAATGTACTTGACCATAAAAATTATTGTTTTTAGCTAAGGAAACTGCTAAAATGTACATAAGTACTGTAGATAGGTAAGTACCTAGTCCCTAGACATAAATTTGCTCAAAAGTAAATTGAGGAATGCACTAAAAGTTTTTAAAATTTACACATTAATACCTACTAACACTTTCTTCAAAATAATCCATTCATTGATTGCCTACATATCATCTAAAACCGCAGTAATCAACTAGGTATTATCTACATAATCATCTACCTAAATATGTAGATAAATTGGTAGTATTACAGCATATCACCAGATATTAACTAGTTGAATTATTGATAAAATCCTTTATACTTATATTGAACTGCTTAAATAAACTTACCGAGTAATATTTTCTTTGAAATATTTCACTAAACACTCAAACACTCATCATTAATGACTTCTTGTTAATCCATCTTTAAAATAATTTTAAAACGAACGAAAATTAGACGCTTCCACGGAGTTTTCTAATTGGTCCATTGGTCGTAAACTTGTAGAGTATGCGCATCTGACACCAAAGCCGCCTGCGATAAAAACGCAGTTTTGCGTATAAAAAACTTCTGCCTGGTTTTGGCGACGTTGCCGTAGTGAGTGAAATTTACATTTCCTGCTGATTTTTGGAAATTCTGATAATTAAGATTACTTATAAGTATAATATTAAAACGAGGGTGTAAAAATTACAAAAATTCGATAGGTGCTCACCTCGATTGAAAAGACGTTAAATGAGCGTGTATTATTAATCACTGGAGAATTTTTGAACCAAAATATATCTGACGATTTTACCTAAAACATAAAATATTTCTCCTAACCAAGATAGAGGATGTTTATTTAAAAATACAAAAATTATTGTTACTCGCTGTTACTTTTAAAATGTGTTACTTTCAGAAGTTGTTATTACCTATCTATATCTATAGAGTGTGGAGGGTGGGTTACCCCTCACGGCACTTCGGTCTTACTAGGGCCATTGTGCATCCTCCTAGCTTTAATACACGGCGCGGTGAACTGATTGAATGTTGGACACATTCAGAACATTTGGACGTATTTTATAGGGACCTATGATTTCTCTAAAATGGGCGATATTCGAAATATTTGAGAAAATGTGCAAATTATGAAGATAACTCAAAAAGATATAAAGAAAAAACAACAAATTTTGAATTTAAGCTTTAATCCATCCTGCGGTAAGCTGATTAAATTTTGGGCACAGTTGAAACATTTGGATGGTTCTTTATGTGCCAAAGATAATTTGTTGGATATCAACAACACTCTGTACATTTGTAGTTACGTCACTGGAGACCGGAAATCAGTGTTGCCAGTCTAGTACAATTAGGCATTCCAACGACCTGTCAAACAATAGGTGCCAGTGGGAAATTCTTGTATATTTAAGGGGGTAGCGACATAGTCTTGCAACTTGGACGCTATTTTTATTCGAAGTAGTACTCGCCAAGCCTGCCAATTTATGAAGAAATGTATAGGTGGGTTTTTTAAATATTATTTTTATTGTGTTTGACATAAAATATTTAAATGTAATCCATTATTCATGATTTTACGTAAAGTAGATAGAATACACCATATGTCGCCACCCTTAGATATACCAAACCTGCCCACTGGTAATTCATTTGTTTGGAATGCCTAATTGTACTAGATCTAGTACATTCTCTGAGAATCTGGTACTCTATAGTACACTCAAAGCAATATCTAGTACTTTATTTTTTCAACGTGTGCTTCCGTTTGACGTGTAAATATATTCCAACGACCTGTCAAAATGCTAACAAGTAACATCACATACTTTACTATATGGGGCAAGAGAGAGGTCCGACATGCCCAACATAGGGCGCGGCCATTTTGAACCCTATGACACAGTTTATAGCTAAAGAATCAGATCGCTCACTCTGCGTCGGCACTTTTTATCTCAATGTTTCAATTTATACACTGCGCAACTCAGATAATACAACATATATGACAACCGTCTATAATAAAACAGCAGTCTTCTGCGTATCCTGAATTTGTATCCCTGGAGTGGATGTTATTTTGGAACTTTCAACTGGTCCGAGTGAGCTAACTGATTCTTTAGCAATAAACTGTGACTCCAAAAATAATATTCACTGACACTGACAGCAGCAAGCAAAATATCGGGTGCGTTTTAATCATCAGCTTCTGCTTCCGGAATTGTCGTTTCAGTCGTTCTAACCTGTCAGATTAAAACAAGAAAATCGACAATTCCGAAGCAGAAGCGGATGATTAAAACGCACCTATTAAAAGTATTGCGCCAAGATGTAGGCAACACGTAATAAGGGTTCAAAATGGCGGAGTTTTCTATCTCCTTTTAAAAGGCACTCAGAAAGCTGCGCAGTGCGACCATTCTCTGTATAGTAAAAGAAAATCAAAGTATGTGAGTAACATAGAGACTGACAGTTTAGGTATAACAACTCTGTGGCTTGACAGGGTCAATAATACAAATATCACATACTTTGTTTTTCACTTATTATACGGAGAATGGTCGCACTGCGCAGCTTTCTGAGTGCCTTTTAAAAGGAGATAGAAAACTCCGCTATTTTGATGCCTTATTACGTGTTGCCTACATCTTGGTGCAATATTTTTAATATTTTATTGCTTGCTGCTGTCAGTGTCAGTGAATATTATTTTTGGAGTCACAGTTTATTGCTAAAGAATCAGTTAGGTCACTCGGACCAGTTGAAAATTCCAAAATAACATCCACCCCAGGGATACATATTCAGGATGCGCAGAAGACTGCTGTTTTATTATAGGCGGTTGTCATATATTGTATTATCCGAGTTGCGCAGTGTATAAACTGGAACATTGAGATCAAAAGTGCCGACTCAGAGTGAAATTTGCTTCTAAGGTTTATAAAATACTACAGAAAAATACTTAAGTCTTCCACTCCATCATCTGAAATAAACTTAGGTTAGAATTATGACGTACAAATAATGGGGGATACATCCGATGTACAAATAATTCGTGTACATCCGATGTATTGCTAGTCACGGCGATTTTAAAAAACATGAATGATCAATCTACATAATTATCTATATAATTATCTATATCATTGTTTGGAATGCCTAATTGTTGGGGTCTTCCTTGTTTTTTGTGTTCGTGTTCTCTTTATTTTGCTCTTTAATGACCACACCTCACAATTCGAAAAATTTGGTACAGTTTATAGAATCTGGTACATTTTTTTAGACAAATCTGGTACATAACAAAAATATATTCTGGCAACACTGCCGGAAATACCAGTCCGCCATATGCAAACAATATACTCGTTTACCCACTTTTTTAATGGTTTCAAATGTGTTTTGTGTATTCAAAGCACATAATTTGGTAAATATTACTAAAACTATAAGATGAATATGATCGATGTGAATGGATTAAGTAGAGAGAAAAGTTAATTTCCGAACTCAACTACCCCGGTCGGTCTTTTAAGTTGGCAATCACAAGTCTTTCATCTGTCATGTCCCACGTGGTTAAAAAATCATATTTTAAGTTGGCAACTAGTAATTTTTCTCTTATGTCTGAAAATGGCGGACAACACAACGTCTGTAGTGAATGCCTACGTTTTTGATTTTTTAAGTAAAAAGAATAAAAAACTGGCAATATCTTTTCAAAAAGAAACTAAAGCTGTAAGTTTGTTTTTTTATTTAAAGTACCTTTCATTGTTAATTAAAAAGTAATCAATGTTTATGTATAGAAGCACCACGTGTTTTGGGTTAAATTAATTAAATTCTATTATTTACAGACACCTTTACCCAACGGTGCACCGACTATAAATGAAATTTTATTACATTATCTAAAAACAGGACCTAAGGCAAAGCAAATAAAACAAAACGTAAATGAAAGTGATGAAGAATCGAGTAGTGAAGAAGAAGCAGCATCTAAACCTAAATTAACAAATGGTGTCGCACAGAAAAAGATTTCAAAGAAAGCAGATTCTAGTAGTGAAGACAGTTCTGAAGATGAAAAACCTGCAGCTAAACCACAGCCAGTTAAACAAGCGCAAAAAAAAGAAAGCAGTTCAGACGATTCATCTGAAGAAGAAGTAAAGGCCCCAGTAAAGCCCATTCTTAAACAGCAGACAATTAAACCCCAGAAGAAAGATAGCAGTAGTTCTGAAGAATCATCAGAAGATGAGGCTCCTAAAAAAGTTCTACCTGTTAAACCTGTTCAGAAACCGAATCTAAAGAAACAAGAGGAAAGCTCAGATGACTCTTCTGATGATTCAGATGACAAAAAGAAACCTGCAGCAAAAATTACACCACAGAAGCCGGTTGTTAAAGTTCAGAAAAAACAAGATAGTTCTGATGATAGTTCTTCTGAAGAAGAAGCTCCAAAAAAACCTGTACAAAAAGCTCCTGTGAAGCCACAACCAGTTGTTAAGCCACCTATGAAGAAACAAGATTCTAGTTCTGACTCTGAGGTTAGTACTTATACATACAAAAATATATTTAGTATAATTGCTTGTTTATTTTGAGCTCATGTTTTTACAATTGCTATTTTTTTGTTATCCATTATTATCCTCATGTTTTATGTAGGATTTGTTACTGTTTCTGAGCGCCACTTTTGGAACAGCTCTGTTAATTATAATCCAACTGAATGATCAAAAATCCTGTCAAAGGTGGGATTTGAACCTGAGTTCTTCGATCTGCAGTCACTATTTTTTTTTTATTCCCTGTTGCTACCATACAGTCTTTAATAATACCCCTATTTCATGTGATTAAACAAATGTTATTAGTTGGCTAAAAATAACAATAATAAATTCAGTAGTATCCCTTAAACAATAATAGCTTGTAGTCCAATTAACTAGACCTTTAAATCAAAATTTTGAAGGAAATACAGGAATTTTTGATATAAGTCACTTTAGAGTATTTGAGAATGATAGAAGTGTTTTTTTAAGGTTATTTAAAAACAGTAGGTGCTATAAAAAAAGTTCTGAATAAAAATTGTTAAGCATAAAGTTTTACATAAAAATTATATCTGCATCTTTTGCTATTATTAAAACTGACAGAGTTAGGGTGGTTAGAAATTAAGAGGAGATATATATGACTTGGAAAAATCATAGGGAGCTGAGAATTCAATGATTTTGTAGATTATTTTTATTATTTACTCAGAAAATTATAAATTTCTTTAAGTTATAACAATTTTAATTTAGAAATTTTCAATATATTATACCTATGAATTTATATGGTAAAATAAATTTTGAAGTAAACTTATTAGCTTGACTGGCATGAAAAATATGAGGAGTGAACTAATAAAAATGACATTCTGACAGTTTGGTCCCCACTTGAAGTTGCATTAAATAAATAAAAACAAATAAAAAAGAACAATAAAAATATAAAAAAAAAAAATAAAGATAAAAGAAAATAAATAAAAATAAATACAATTAAATAAACAAAAAATTTAAATAAATAAAATTAAACAAAAATAAATGAAAAGATAAGTGTAAAAGAAAATAAATAAAAATACATAAAAATAATTAAAAAATTAAAATAATTACAAATAGTTAAAAAAATTAAATAAAAATAGGTAATTTATTAAAAATAGAAATTAAACAAAAATAAATGAAAAGATAAATAATGTAATAGAAAGTAAATAAAAATAAATAAAAAGAAATAAAAATGAATAAAAATAAAATTAAAAAAAATATTCATTTTTATTTATTTAATTATAAAAAATAGAAATTAAACAAGAATAAATTAAAAGATAAATAATGTAGAAGAAAGTAAATAAAAATAAATAAAAATTAAAAAAATAAATAAAAATTAAAAATAAATAAATATAAATAAAAATAATTATAATTAAAAGATAAAAATAAAATAAAATAAATAAAAATAATTAAATAAAATTAGGTAAATTATTAAAAATAAAAAATAAATAAAATTAAACAAAAATAAATGAAAAGATAAGTGTAAAAGAAAATAAATAAAAATACATAAAAATAATTAAAAAAAAAATTATATAAATCAAAATAATTACAAATAGTTAAAAAAATTAAAAAAAATAAATAAAAATGAATAGAAGTAAAATAAAAATAAAAAAATTAAATAAAAATAAATGAAAAGATAAATAATGTAAAAGAAAGTAAATAAAAATAAAAAAATATTCATTTTTATGTATTTATTTATTTATTTATTTATAAAAAATAAAATGACAAATATTTAAAAAAATTAAATAAAAATAGGTAATTTATTAAAAATAGAAATTAAACAAAAATAAATTAAAAGATAAATAATGTAATAGAAAGTAAATAAAAATAAATAAAAAGAAATAAAAATGAATAAAAATAAAATTAAAAAAAATATTCATTTTTATTTATTTAATTATAAAAAATAGAAATTAAACAAGAATAAATTAAAAGATAAATAATGTAGAAGTAAATAAAAATAAATAAAAATTAAAAAAATAAATAAAAATTAAAAATAAATAAATATAAATAAAAATAATTATAATTAAAAGATAAAAATAAAATAAATAAAAATAATTAAATAAAATTAGGTAAATTATTAAAAATAAAAAATAAATAAAATTAAACAAAAATAACTGAAAAGATAAGTGTAAAAGAAAATAAATAAAAATAATTAAAAAAAAATAATTATATAAATCAAAATAATTACAAATAGTTAAAAAAATTAAAAAAATAAATAAAAATTAAAAAACTAAATAAAAAGAAATAAAAATGAATAGAAGTAAAATAAAAAGAAATAAAAATGAATAGAAGTAAAATAAAAATAAAAAAATTAAATAAAAAAAACTGAAAAAATAAATAATGTAAAAGAAAGTAAATAAAAATAAAAAAATATTCATTTTTATGTATTTATTTATTTATAAAAAATAAAATGACAAATATTTAAAAAAATTAAATAAAAATAGGTAATTTATTAAAAATAGAATTTAAACAAAAATAAATAAAAATAAAAAAATTAAAAATAAACATATGAAAATAATTATAATTAAAAAAATAAAAATTAGGTAAATTATTAAAAATAAATAAATTAAAATACATAAAAATAGGTAAAGAAATAAAAATAAAAAAATATTCATTTTTATTTATTTATAAAAAATAAAATGAAAAATATTTAAAAAAATAAATAAAAATAGGTAAATTATTCAAAATAGAAATTAATAAAAATAAATATTTTTTTTATTCATTTTTATTTATTTCTTTTTAATTCTTTTTTTATTTCTTTTTAATTCTTTTTGTTTATTTTTATTTATTTCTATTTATTTCTTTTTTTATTTATTTATTTTCTTTCACGTTTATCTTTTTAATTTTATTTATTTTCGTTTAATTTTGTTTAATTTAATTAATTTCTATTTTTAATAATTTATCTATTTTTATTTGTTTTTATTTATTTATTTTTATGTATTTTCTTTTACACTTATCTTTTCATTTATTTTTGTTTAATTTTATTTATTTTTTATTTTTAATAATTTATCTATTTTTCCTTAATTTTTTAACTGTTTGTTATTATTTTTATTTATAAATTTATTGTTTATTTTTTTATTTTAATTTTTTTTTTTTTAGTTTTTTATTTATCTTTGTTTTTATTTATATTTTATTTATTTGTATTTACTTATTTTTTTTTAATTTGCCCATTTTTATTTATTAATTTTTTATTATCTTTATTTTTTTATATTTTTTATTTTTATTTAATGGAACTTTAAGTGGAAACCAAACTGTCGCGATGTCGTTTTTATTAGTTCATTCCTCATATTTTTCATGTCAGTCAAGCTAATAAATTTACTTCAAAATTTACTGTATAAATTCGTATAATTAATTGAAAATTTCTAAATTAAAATTGTTATAACTTAAAAAAAAATTTTCTTAAAAGCAATTTATAATTTTCTGAGTAAATAATAAAATGAAACTACAAAGTCATTGAATTTTCAGCTCGCTCTGATATTTCCAAGTCATATATATCTCCTCTTAATTTCTAACCTCCCTAACTCTGTCAGTTTTAATAATATAAAAAAATGTCAAATACCATTTGTAAAACTTTATGCTTTACAATTTTTATTAAGAACTTTTTTTGATAAGACCTACCATTTTTAAATAACCATAAAAAACACTTTATTTTCTTGTTTTTTGACATTTACCAGTGCCTGAAAAACAAAATTTTTTTACATATCGTTTTCAGATACTCTTAAAGTGACTTATATCAAAAATTTCTGTATTTCCTCCAAAATTTGATTGGACTATTGAGTAAGATACCCTTCAAGCAAATTTGACAATATACTTGACATTTCTAGTTAACCCCTTGGCAAACTTTTACAAGACTTATCTCACATGCAGTCACCATTATTGCACTTTGGTTTTTGCCTGCAAACATTTGGCCATCACCTAGATCAAAGTAATTTTATTGATTTACTGCCATTTCTTTTCAACTAAATTTTATAGCAGGAACAAATTGAAAAGGCTTTTAGTAGATAGAGAGGTGGTAAATGTCAATCCTGGTTGGAGGACTTCAAAAATTTCACCATAATCTTTATTACTCATTGTTGTATCATAGAATAAAAATAATACTAAACATTTAAAATTATTACTGTGGAATTGGGATGGAAAAACCTAAGAATTAAAAAAAAATTATAGGTTTTTTTAAGGTTTTTAGTTCATATGTCAAAAATTATTGTCACTATCATTAATATCAATATCAAGAAGAAATAATTATAACCTGTGATAAAATGTTTGCATGTTTATATATACACTCATTTTTGTACCCTTTCTTCTAAGAGTTGATTAGTAAAATTGTGAATTCTTAATATTTATCTTAAAAAACCCAAAATTGTAGATTTTTGACTCTTAGGTCTAAAACAAACCTATACCTGCCATTATTGCACTTTGGTTGTTGTCTGCAAACATTTGGCCACCACCCAAATCAAAGTAATTTTATTGATTCACTGCAATTTCTTCTCAATTAAATTTTATAGTAGGAACAGAAGTTGGAAAGTCTTTTGGTAGATTGAGAGGTGGTAAATGTCAATCCCAGTTGGAGGACTTCGAGAATATCATAGTAAATCTTTATTCTCCATTGTTGTATCATAAAATAAAAATAATTAATACCAAACATTTAAATTTATTACTGGTGGAATTAGGCGAATGTATCTATTTCAGGGATGGAAAAAACCTAAGAATTTAAAAATATATAAGTAGGTTTTTAGATTTTGTAAGGTTTTATAGGTTTTTTAAGGTTTTTAAGTTCATATGTCAAAAATTATTGACACTATCATTAATATTAGTATCAAGAAGTTATAACCTGTGATGAAATGTTTGCATGTTTTTATATACACTCATTTTTGCACCCTTTCTTCTAAGAGTTGATTAGTAAAATTGTGAATTCTTAATATTTATCTTAAAAAACCCAAAATTGTAGATTTTTGACTCTTAGGTCTAAAAAAATCTCTAGATGCAAAACAAACCTGTACCTACCAACCCTGCCATTATTACACTTTGGTTGTTGCCTGCAAACATTTGGACACCACCCAAATCAAAATAATTTTATTGATTCACTGCAATTTCTTCTCAATTAAATTTTATAGTAGGAACAGAAGTTGGAAAGTCTTTTGGTAGATAGAGAGGTGGTAAATGTCAATCCCAGTTGGAGGACTTCGAGAATATCATAGTAAATCTTTATTCTCCATTGTTGTATCATAAAATAAAAATAATTAATACCAAACATTTAAAATTATTACTGGTTGAATCAGGGCGAACGTATGGGCTACAAATAATTAATTAAACAAGTCATAATTCTACAAAATTTCATTAGGTATTCACAATTTATTTAACTGTTTGCATGAAATTGTTATCAGCCTTTATAAAATAATTTTCTACACAAATGTTTCATATTCACTTCAGTTAGCTCCTGTATATGAAGTGGGAGAACAGGCAAAAGATTTTCCAACTTCTATCTGCTATAATTGAAGACGATTGGATAGGCTTTGACTTATCAAACTTTGACATTTAAAAAGGTATTAGTGTTTATGTTATCAATTTTATCAAAATTTCTTGCTCCCATAATTTTTTTCATGTAAGTAGAAATAAGATAAACATTTTTCTTATAAAACCAATGTATTTAATTAACAAAAAAAAAGAGGAATAACAATTTTTATGTTTTATATTGTTTGATATTTTTTAAAACAGATGTTGGGTGATTTTAGACAGGCCCGTAATGCAATAAAAATTATTTGAAGACAGAAATCCAACCTTTCAAAAATTCTGCAAATAAAATCACTGTACTCCTTTTTTCTCTCTAGGTTTAACCTACAATTAATAGGATAACTGAGTAAAAAACTTTTCCAATTAATATACAGGGGTCAGGCTTTAGATCTTAAATATTGAAATATCAAAAGTGCAGCTGTTACATTTTTTATCATCCAATAATCTATTAATTTCGTTTTTTTTTTTTGCATTTTTGATATTGTTACTGACTATATCTTACCAAGCAGTTTAAAACAGATGTTGGGTGGTTTAGACAGGCCTGTAATGCAATAAAGATTATTTAAAAACAGAAAAACAACCTCTCAAAAGTTCTGCAAATAAAATTACTGTGCTCTTTTTTTTTTTTTTCTCTAGACTTTAACCTGTGACTAATAGGATAACTAAGTAAAAAACTTTTTCAATCAATATACAGGGGGTTAGGTTTTAGATCCTATAAATATTGAAATGAATATAATATCAAATGTGCAGCTGTTACATTTTTACTGTCCAATAATCCATTAATTTCGTTTTTTTTTTTGCATTTTTGATATTGTTACTGACTATATCTTACCAAGCAGTTTAAAATAGATGTTAGGTGGTTTAGACAGGCCTGTAATGCAATAAAAATTATTTAAAAACAAATACAACCTCTCAAAAGTTCTGCAAATAAAATCACTGTGCTCTTTTTTCTCTCTAGACTTTAACCTGTGACTAATAGGATAACTAAGTAAAAAACTTTTTCAATCAATATACAGAGGGTTAGATTTTAGATCCTATAAATATTGAAATGAATATAATATCAAATGTGCAGCTGTTACATTTTTACTGTCCAATAATCCATTAATTTCGTTTTTTTTTTTGCTTTTTTGACATTGTTACTGACTATATCTTACCAAGCAGTTTAAAGCAGATTTTGGGTGGTTTAGACAGGCCTGTAATGTAATAAAAATTATTTGAAGACAGAAATACAACCTCTCAAAAGTTCTGCACATAAAATCACTGTGCTCTTTTTTTTCTCTAGACTTTAACCTGGGACTAATAGGATAACTGAGTAAAAAACTTTTTCAATCAATATACAGGGGGTTAGGTTTTAGATCCTAAAAATTGAAATGAATATAATATCAAATGTGCAGCTGTTGCATTTTTACTGTCCAGCAATCCATTAATTTCGTTTTTTTTTGCATTTTTGACATTGTTACTGACTATATCTTACCAAGCAGTTTAAAACAGATGTTGGGTGGTTTAGACAGGCCTGTAATGCAATAAAGATTATTTAAAAACAGAAATACAACCTCTCAAAAGTTCTGCAAATAAAATCACTGTGCTCTTTTTTTTTTTCTCTAGACTTAAACTTGTGACTAATAGGATAACTAAGTAAAAAACTTTTTCAATCAATATACAGGGAGGTCAGGCTTTAGATCTAAAATATTGAAATATCAAAAGTGCAGCTGTTACATTTTTTATTGTCCAATAATCTATTAATTTCGTTTTTTTTTGCATTTTTGACATTGCTACTGACTATATCTTACCAAGCAGTTTAAAACAGATGTTGGGTGGTTTAGACAGGCCTGTAATGCAATAAAGATTATTTAAAAACAAATACAACCTCTCAAAAGTTCTGCAAATAAAATCACTGTGCTCTTTTTTTTTTTTCTCTAGACTTTAACCTGTGACTAATAGGATAACTAAGTAAAAAACTTTTTCAATCAATATACAGGGGGTTAGGTTTTAGATCCTACAAATATTGAAATGAATATAATATCAAATGTGCAGCTGTTATATTTTTATTGTCCAATAATCTATTAATTTCTTTTTTTTTGCATTTTTGACATTGTTACTGACTATATCTTACCAAGCAGTTTAAAACAGATGTTGGGTGGTTTAGACAGGCCTGTAATGCAATAAAAATTATTTGAAGACAGAAATACAACCTCTCAAAAGTTCTGCAAATAAAATCACTGTGCTCTTTTTTTTTTCTCTAGACTTTAACCTGTGACTAATAGGATAACTAAGTAAAAAACTTTTTCAATCAATATACAGGGGGTTAGGTTTTAGATCCTATAAATATTGAAATAATATAATATCAAATGTGCAGCTGTTACATTTTTACTGTCCAATAATCCATTAATTTCGTTTTTTTTTTTGCTTTTTTGATATTGTTACTGACTATATCTTACCAAGCAGTTTAAAACAGATGTTGGGTGGTTTAGACAGGACTGTAATGCAATAAAAATTATTTGAAGACAGAAATACAACCTCTCAAAAGTTCTGCAAATAAAATCACTGTGCTCTTTTTTTTTTTCTCTAGACTTTAACCTGTGACTAATAGGATAACTGAGTAAAAAACTTTTTCAATCAATATACAGGGGGTTAGGTTTTAGATCCTATAAATATTGAAATAATATAATATCAAATGTGCAGCTGTTACATTTTTACTGTTCAATAATCCATTAATTTCGTTTTTTTTTTTTGCATTTTTGATATTGTTACTGACTATACCTTACCAAGCAGTTTAAAACAGATGTTGGATGGTTTAGACAGGCCTGTAATACAATAAAGATTATTTGAAGACAGAAATACAACCTCTCAAAAGTTCTGCAAATAAAATCACTGTGCTCTTTTTTTTTTTCTCTAGACTTTAACCTGTGACTAATAGGATAACTAAGTAAAAAACTTTTTCAATCAATATACAGGGGGTTAGGTTTTAGATCCTATAAATATTGAAATGAATATAATATCAAATGTGCAGCTGTTAATTTTTTACCATCCAGCAATCCATTTTTGACATTGTTACTAACTCTTTATCATAACAAGAAGTTTAAAAAACGTTACAATTATTGTTAAATTTTTTAAATGCTTACTAGTTGACTAGTAGAAGAGTCAAATGCTTTTGTGGGGTCTGTTTTTGAGTTTTATTGTAACAGAAAAAAAAATAAAAGTACTATTTGATAGATTGAGGTAGGTATGTAATGTTCAACAATAAATTCATCTATTGTATTAAAAGCATATGTTTTTTTTTAAACTCTCCTCTTCTAATGACAACTTCCTATGTGTTGATCTCAATTTAAAAAAAAGCTTGTAGAAAAATCCTGGTTTTAAGAAAGACAATGTAAAGAATTCTTATATTTCTTTTTTTTTTCTCACAATTTAAGAAAATATTGCACTAAATTTGTATGGTGAAAAAATTGTAGAAAATAATACTAGAAGTAACCTTTATTTGAAGAATTTTCTTCTCCAAACTTATATAACAGATATATTCCATAAAATATAAAAACGACCCCCTATAAAGTACCCCCCAGATGTTCTGACACTGTCCAAAATCAAATTAGTTCATCTAAGGCCGGAATAAAGCTTAAGTTTAAAATTTAATATTTTTCTATTTAACCGTTTTTGAGTTTTCTTCAAAATTTGAGATTTACACTTTTTCAAATATTTCGAATACGGTCCATTTTAGAGAAATTATGTATAGGACAAGAATTATAGAGAAATATATCACAAACAACTTTTATTTGAACAATTTTTATCAAAATTTGAATTTTTTACATTTTATCAAATTTCTCGAATACGGCCCATTTTAGGAAAATTTTGTATAAACCAAAATTATAGAGATTATTATAAGAAATAACTTTTATTTGAAGAATTTTCTTCTCCAAACACAAATAATAGAGATATTCCATAAAATATAAAAACGACCTCCTATAAAGTACTCCCCCAGATGTTCCGGCTTTTCCCAAAATCTAATCTGTTCACCGTAGGCCGGAGAAAATCTTAAGTTTATAAGTTAGTCTTTTTCTTTGTATCTGTTTATGAGTTATTGAGGATATAGAAACACAGACATCATCACAAAAACAGTCAAAATGGATTCAGGGGACCTCAGAACGTAAAAATCGAAAACTCGATGTTGAAAAAATCATGATACTTTCCTTATCTGTATACAGATAGGAAAGTAAAAATATATGTGATAAATTTGTTGTAAGTGGCGCCAACTGTGATTTCTCTCAAACTAATAAAAAAAAATCTTATTTTTCAATTATAAATATAATTATTATTTTATGTTGTTGAAAAACTATACAATTTTATTTAGGAATCATCTGAGGAAGAAGCACCCAAAAAACCTATAGTTAAAACCCCACCAGTCAAACTTGCACAACCGAAAGCAGTTTCCAAAAAAGAAAGTAGTGATGACAGTTCTTCTGAAGAAGAAGCACCTAAAAAAGCCACTCCTAAACCAACTCCGGTTGCCGCTAAAACAACTGCTGTCAAAAGAAAAGCAGAAAGTTCAGACGATTCAGATTCATCTGAAGATGAAAAACCTCCATCTAAAAAACCTGCTCTTACTCCAGTAAAGAAGACCATTGTTACTCCAAAAAAAGCTGAAGCGAGCAGTTCAGAAGATAGTAGTGATGAAGAGGAAGTCAAAAAAACAGTCGTAGCAATTCCGAAAAAACCAGTTGCTAAAAAAGATAGTTCTGATGATGATTCAAGTGAAGATGAAGCTCCACCCAAACCGGTAGCTAAACAAACTCCAGTAGCTAAGAAAGCTGCAAAAGCTGAAAGCAGTTCAGAAGAATCTAGTGAAGAAGAAAAGAAACCTACACCAAAATCCACTCCAAAAAAACCTGTCAGTAAAAAAAAAGAAAGCTCATCAGAGGAAGATAGTGATGATGATGAAACACCAGCACCAAAAAAATCAGCAACCTCCACTCCCGCTCCAAAAAAGGTAATCATAGAGTTTTATTTTTATTAAAATAGTTCTATAACAAATTTATATTGGTCAGCAGGTAGCTGCAAACAAAGAATCTTCAGAAGAATCGTCAGAGGAAGATGAGGAAGAAACTAAATCTAAAAAAAATGACCAGACTGAAACTGACGATGTTGAAATGACGATTAAAAAGCCGAAATACGACAACTTCGTGAAAGCAGGGCAGAATAATAGTTTCAATGGAAATGATAGGGTCAGTTCAATTTTTGTTTCTACATAATATGAATTGTAAAAACTCTTACAGTTAAATAGACCTTTAAATCAAAATTTTGGAGGAAATACAGGAATTTTTGATATAAGTCCCTTAAGAGTATTTGAAAACGATATGTAGAAAAATTTTGTTTTTCAGGCACTGCCAAATGTCAAAAAACAAGAAAATAAAGTGTTTTTTTAAGGTTATTTAAAAACGGTAGGTGTTATTAAAAAAGTTCTTAATAAAAATTGTAAAGCATAAAGTTTTACATAAAAATTATATTTGACATTTTTGCTATTATTAAAACTGACAGAGTTAGGGTGGTTAGAAATTAAGAGGAGATATATATGACTTGGAAAAATCAGAGCGAGCTGAAAATTCAATGATTTTGTAGTTTCGTTTTATTATTTACTTAGAAAATTATAAATTTCTTTTAAGAATTTTTTTTTATTTTTTTTTTTTTTAATTTAGAAATTTTCAATTATACGAATTTATATGGTAAATTTTGAAGTAAACTTATTAGCTTGGAGGAATGAACTAATAAAAACGACATCGCGACAGTTTGGTCTCCACTTGAAGTTCCATTAAATAAATAAAAATAAAAACAAATAAAAAAGAACTAATTAAAAATATTAAAAAAATAAATAAAAATGAAAATGAAAAAAAATAAAGATAATAAAAAATCAATAAATGAAAACAGGTAAATTGAAAAAAATATAAAAATAAGTAAATAAAAAGAAATACCTAAATAAAAATAATTAAACTAAAAAACTAAAAACAAATAAAAATAAATAAATAAATACAAATAAAAAAATAAACAAAATTTAAATAAATAAAAATAATTACAAATAGTTAAAAAAATTAAATAATAATAGGTAATTTATTAAAAATAGAAATTAAACAAAAATAAATAAAAACGAATAAAAATAAAAATGAAGAAAAATAAAATAAAAATTAAAAATATTCATTTTTATTTATTTATAAAAAAAATAATGACAAATAAATAAATAAAATTAAACAAAAATAAATGAAAAGATAAGTGTAAAAGAAAATAAATAAAAATAATTAAAAATAGAAATTAAACAAAAGTAAATAAAAATAAACAGAAATAAATAAAATAAATAAAAATAAATAAATACGAATAAAAATAAAAAAAGAAATAAAAAGGAATAAAAATTAAGAAATATAAAATAAATGAAAAGATAAGTGTAAAAGAAAATAAATAAAAATAATTCATAAAAATGAAAAATAAAAAAATTAAAAATAATTACAAATAGTTAAAAAATTAAATAATAATAGGTAATTTATTAAAAATAGAAATTGAACAAAAATAAAATTAATAAAAAAAAGAAAAAAGAAATAAAAAAGGAATAAAAATGAAGAAAAATAAAATAATTAATAAAAATAAATAAAATGAAACGAAAATAAATAAAGATAAATGTAAAAGAAAATAAATATAAATAAAAATAAAATATGCATTTTTATTTACTTTCTTTTACATTTATCTTTTTATTTATTTTTGTTTAATTTTATTTATTTTTATTAAATTCTATTTTTAATAATTCGCCTATTTTCATTTAATTTTTTGAAATATTTGTCATTTTATTTTTTTATAAATAAAAATAAATATTTTTCTATTTTGATTTTATTTTTATTCATTTTTATTTCTTTTTATTTATTTTTTATTTTTATTTACTTTCTTTTCATTATTTATCTTTGTTTAATTTCTATTTTTAATAAATTACCTATAACTATTTGTAATTATTTTTATTTATATTTTTATTCATTTATTTTTATTTGTTTTTATTTATTTTTTTAATTATAATTATTTTTATTTATATTTATAAAAAATAAAATGACAAATATTCAAAAAATTAAATAAAAATAGGTGAATTATTAAAAATAGAATTTAATAAAAATATATAAAATTAAACAAAAATAAATAAATAAAAATAAATATTTTTTTTATTTTTATTTATATTTATTTTCTTTTACATATTTGTCAATTTTTATTTTTTATAAATAAAAATGAATATTTTTTATTTTTATTCGTTTTTATTTATTTTTGTATATTTTTATTAACTTTCTTTTATATTTATCTTTTCATTTATTTTTGTTTAATTTCTATTTTTAATAAATTACCTATTATTTAATTTTTTTTTACTTTTTTCATTTTTATGAATTATTTTTATTAATTTTCTTTTACACTTATCTTTTCATTTATTTTATATTATTTTTTTATAATTTACCTATTTTTATTTAATTTGTTATTAATTTTATTTATTTAAATTTTTAGTTTATTTTTTTAATTTTTTTTTTGTTTATTTATTTTTATTTATTTGTTGTTTTTAGTTTATTTAATTTTTTTTTATTTTATTTTTTATATTTATTTTTTATTTTTTATATTTATTTTTATTTTTTTTTATATTTTTATTTAGTTCTTTTTTATTTATTTTTATTTACCAAATTGTCGCGATGTCGTTTTTATTAGTCCCTTCCTTTATATTTTTTTAAATAACCTTTAAAAAAACACTTTATTTTCTTGTTTTTTGACATTTGCTGGTGCCTGAAAAACAAAATTTTTTTACATATCGTTTTCAAATACTCTTAAGTGACTTATATCAAAAATTCCTGTATTTCCTCCAAAATGTTTGATACAAAGGTCTATTTGATTGGCTTGCAAAAAATTGTTTAAAAAAAAAATCGAAATATTTTTGTTTCAAAATAATAATTAAAAATATGGGTTAATATTTTGTTTTTAAAAACAATTAATGGGTGAACAATTTAAAAACTCTTAGCTTTAACAAAAATCAAATCATATTTTTCAAATTTTGTACCAAAATATAAAGATCTGGGTTAAATTTTTTTCTTTTGAAAAATAAATGGGTTAAAAAACTCTTAGTTACTTGCAAAAAATTGTTTAAAAAAAAAAAAATAGAAATATTTTTGTTTCAAAATAATAATTAAAGATCTGGGTTAATATTTTGTTTTTAAAAACAATTAATGGGTGAACAATTTAAAAACTCTTAGCTTTAACAAAAATCAAATCATATTTTTCAAATTTTGTACCAAAATATAAAGATCTGGGTTAAATTTTTTTCTTTTGAAAAATAAATGGGTTAAAAACTTTTACAGTTACTTGCAAAAAATTGTTAAAAAAAAAAATCGAAATATTTTTGTTTCAAAATAATAATTAAAGATCTGGGTTAATATTTTGCTTTTAAAAACAATTAATGGGTGAAAAATTTAAAAACTCTTAGATTTCTCTTAGCTTTAACAAAAATCAAATCATATTTTGCAAATTTTGTTCCAAAATAGAAAGATCTGGGTTAAATTTTTTTCTTTTGAAAAATAAATGGGTTAAAAAACTCTTACAGTTACTTAATCGATATATTTTTGCTTCAACATAACAATTAAAGATCTGGGTTAATATTTTGCTTTTAAAAACAATTAATGGGTGAACAATTTAAAAACTCTTAGATTTCTCTTAGCTTTAACAAAAATCAAATCATATTTTGCAAATTTTGTTCCAAAATATAAAGATCTGGGTTAAATTTTAATTCTTTTGAAAAATAAATGGGTGAAAAAATAATTTTAATCAATGTTTTATATAGGCGAGGAACACCCCATTCCGTCGCGTCAAAGATGAAGAAATTCAAGTCGACCCCAGATTAATTGACAACTCCTTTGAAGCAAAGGTAAAATGCAAATCTCATGGAAAGTACAACTGAGACGGCGGCAGGAGAAGGGGTTTTAATATTAAAAATTAATTAAAAAAATTAAATTGTAACTTAAATGAGATTTGCACGTTACCCTTTGTACTTCGCCCTTTCCGTTGTACTTACATGTTTTTTTTTTTCTTTTCTTTTTCATGTTGGCTGCTTCGTCAAACACCAATATTGTCTCTCTTTTTGAATACCACAAATTAGAATTCGTTTGGCGGTAATAGAGGTGGAAGGGGCGGATTCCGCGGCGGTAGAGGTGGTGACCGCGGAGGTAGAGGTGGCGACCGCGGAGGTCGAGGTGGTAGAGGAGGCGACCGCGGAGGCAGAGGTGGTTTCAGAGGCGGTTTTAACCGAAACTCAGACGGAGGCGGTGAAAGGAAAAGTTGGGGCGACAATAACCGAGGCGGCGGAGGATTTAGAGGCGGTCGCGGTGGTAACAGGGATAGCGGAGGATTCGGCGGTCGAGGGGGATTTAACAAATCATTCGGCGGTAGCGATAGGGGCGGCGGTAGGGGAGGTTTCGGTAACAAATCGTTCAATCAGAGAGACAGTTTTGGATCGAAACCGGCGGAAAACAAGAAAATTACTTTTGACGATTAGATGGATTAGTTTGTATTAATTGTAAGTATAATTCACTGAATATTATTAAAAAAATTTCCTTGGTTTAATCGGTCAAATGTTTTTATTTTCTACATATGTTTCGGAAAATACAATTTTTCCATCTTCAGGTGCAGTCAATTTATAAAAATTATCGGGACGAATACAAACAGTTTGAAATTATAGAACGCCATCTTTCTATTACATATCATATTGACTGTTTACTAAAAATGGGTAAAAATCAAAATTTTACAGGATTAATTAATTTTCTTTTTTTAGGTACAAGGTTTTTATATGATTGTTTAGGGCATTAATTTCTTTAGATAATAAAGTGTTTATGAAGTTTCTAAGAGGAATTTTTTTTTATGTTTTTGTAACATAGGAGGTATTGATATAATTTTCTTTGTCAGATAGGAGTTTTTTCTTGCAATTTAATAAAAGACTAGCTGTTGCCCGCGACTTTGCTCGCATGTAGTCGTGTTATTAATATAAAAAATTACGTGACATCCTTTTTTATTAATTTTTATTAGTTTTATTAATTTTCATTCATTTTTTTTTATATTTATTCATTTTTATTAATTTTTACTCATTTTTAATTATTTTTATTCATTTCTATTTATTTTCATTAATGTTTATTCATTTTTATTCATTTTTATCCATTTTTATTTATTTTTATTCATTTATAATAATTTTTATTCATTTTTTTTAATTTTTATTAACTTTTAATTATTTTTATTACTGTTTATTAATTTGTGTGTTTTTTTTTTTAGTTTTAGTTTATTTTTATGATACTAGCATACAAAAATCTAACCACAGAGCACGTCATTATTTATTTATGCTACAATTATAATTTTTAAGTTCCAAGGTTCGAAAAAATTTATACTTTTATACAAATTTTTACCCCAGTTTTCTCCCCTTAAAATGTAAAAATCCAAAAACCATGAAACACATCATGTTTGATTTTTAATCAGTAGCTGTAATTCAAATTTTTACGTTTCAAACTTTAAATAAAAAATATACATATATACATACATACTATTAAACAAATTTTCACCCTCCTCCCATTTCCCCCCTTAAAATGTTTAAATGCAAAAATCCTGAAACACTTCATTATTTATTTATGATGAGAACCTACAATTCCAATTTTCAAGTTCTTACCTTTACAAAAATCGATATCTCCAAATAAACTTTCACCCTCATTTCCCCCCCCCCCCCTTAAAATGTGAAAATCCAAAAACCCTAAAACTCGTCATTATTAATTTGTATTCATTAGTTGCAATTTCAATTTTAAGGGTTATTTTCAACCGTATATCAATTATTTGTCGATATTAATGTGTAAAATACATATTATTTTAAAGAGTTAAAATAATTGGATTTTTATGAATTTAAACTATTGTGTATATTACCAAATTACTAAAATTGTGTCTTGTATCCTCGGGTATACCCCAGGGAAGTGCTACTTTTATTGTTTTCGTACCTCAATGATCTTAATTACATGAATTTTTAAATGTATTTGCTGATAACACCCTTCTAGCTGCAAGTTATCAAAGTTGCCAAAATAAATTAAACATTTTAAAATATTAAAAAAATTCTCAATTCTAAAGCAATGATAATAACCTCACAATCTAAATACAACCAAATTGATAAAAATCACATTGATAGGAAAAGGATTAAAGTTGGTTGAAGATATTAAATATTTTGGTTTTGTAGTTGATAATATATTAAATTCTAAAAAGCATTTTCAATACATATTATAACAAAATATCAAAAAAAAAATTGTTTTTTTTGTTTTTCTTCAACCGAATTTGTGGTCATCTTACATTTAAGACTTCGCATAATGTTTGTTTAACCTCATTTTGATTGATTGATTAGGATTATTATTAGATTCTGTCAACAGGCCACTCCAAAAAATGCAAAAATATTTTGAAATGTTATAGTTATACACCTATTATTACAATGCTTTCCACATTAAATTGGTTGTAGGTGAAGGATATACTATGTTTATGTTCTATATTATTTATATTACATAAAATTATATCGGGAAATGCCCCTAAATACTTTGATGAATTTATTATGTTTAATCTCCAAATTCATAAGTATCCCACTTACTTTTATGTTACTTAAAAAAAATTAGTCGCACTGTGAACTCATTTTTTATGGTTTAATTGTATTTAACATCTAGACGGTTTAGAAAAATGTTATTAAACCATATCCAACACTTCTCTATCAATCTTCTTTCTTTTAAATTTTTATATTTCTGTCACAATTTTCTTAGATTTGCCATTTTTTCAGTATAATGCAAGAGGATCCTGGGGCGAGAGGGCAAACACCGACTTAAAGCATACTAGGGGAAAATCTTTTAGACACGAGAAAACAAAGAAGAAAAGAGGATCCTATCGCGGAGGCACCATCGATACATCAATTAATTCCATTAAATTTGAATAAATGTAATTACTTTTAATTATTTTTTATACTATATCTGATAAGTCTGTAAAACTTTTTAATGTCCAATTTGAAAATTGTGTCGTTTTATACATCTGAACGCCAGAACACGTATGTAAGTATTTTTGAAAATGTTTTCAAAATCAATTATTATATTACATATTTACTTATGGTGCCTTTTATAATCATTATTATATTGTTTGAAAAGGTCTATTTAGACGTTGGCGTAGATTTTAGTTAATATTACTGTGATTTCTATGTGGACCTATTTTTTTTATTAACTGCATCGGTAAATATTCTGCCATTGACTTTTTTTCTGTTACATCATTGGATATTTTGAAAAAAAAAAAAACAAACTGATGTGGATAACTAAATATATTGTTTTATTTTTAAACTAAATAAAGCATGTATAATAAATTAGTTTTACTTATAAGTCTCTTGAGAGGAATGTTAAAAAGAATTTTTATTACTATTGCTTGAATAAAAACCCAAAATAAATTATATTTAATTATAATGTTATCGTTACAAGCTATTATATCAGACTGACTTTATTTTATTAAAATGTTACTATGAGAAAAAATTAGAGTCAGCAATTCACACACACTTCACATAGATTCAGTAACACTGCCGGCAACCCGATACCGTTTTCCTGTAAAAGGTATATGGGGCCATCGATCGTAACTCGGGGAACACGGAGCGGTCTGCGAGCATAAAGCTTCAACTGGTGCAATCTGTTTCTCACAGTTTGGCTGATCACAACATGATGTGTGCGGTACAACTGATTTGCTAACTGACCTGCTGTGACAGTTTGATCAGGACAGATACTTTAGGGTGCTGTTTCCCTTTCGTCTCTATCTTGAGCAGTTTAGGCACTATTCAAGTTCAAAACTTCAAACGCGAATATCTCGGAAACGGTAAGAGATAGAGCAAAATGACCCAGGGGGCAACGGGACGCAGATATTTTTTTCTTAACCATCCTCCCGAGTCCTACCGCTTGCCAAGTCCTCACTTGCTGCATATGCGCGTACCTATCTTTGATTTGATTGGAAATTGTACATATTTCTTATTATTGTCGTACCAGTTAAAAATAGGTTATGTTATAAATGCAGAAAGATGATACTATAATAATATGCATTCAAGAAAATATAAATAAATAGGAATAGTTACAAGTATAAATACAAAGTTTAATAATTATTTAAATAAAATACCTAGTATAAATACAGAATAAATTAGACAATGATAACTTACTGATGCATTATAATGCCTGTGTGCAAGCTAGTTTATGTTTCGATTTAGAATGATATAGAAATAAATAAATAATAAAACAAAATAAAAGTATCGTCGTTTATTACTTTTGTAAGCAAGGTATATAGGTATACTTATAAGTAAAAAATAGATTCTGGTACGCTTTAGGTACGATGGAATTTGAAAAATTAATTTAAACATTAAAAAGTACCCATTCTATAGAATACATTTCTAAAAAAATGCTGATAACCGAATATTTTCTAAGAAAAGTTGTAAGATTTTGATGTTCCTAACCTAACAGTTCTTAACCTAACATTTTATCATTTTCTTACAGTTTTGCCAAGAGTTTCAGTACTTTATACCTTACTACATAAAATATGTGAATATTAACAAGACTGAAATATTTTTATATCGTAAAATTAATTAAATAATTAGGGCAAGGAAAATCTTTATAAATGAATCAAAATATTATTTATTTATGAAATAATTTCAGTTAGTTACAAGATAAAATACGTAAATATTGATATACCCATTCTTTAATTTTGAAAAAAATTACGATATAGCCTATAAAATTGTAAATTTGATAACATTTTCTTATCCTTTTTTTAGAAGTATACAATATATAATGAGTACTTTTTAGTGTAATTAATTTTTTTTTTTCTAAATTTCGAGGTACTTAAAGCGTACAGGAGCCAAATTATATGTTCAGTATTTGTAAAGTACTTGATTCATTCATTTACTAACAATTTTAAAATCTAAATTTGTAGAAAGTAGAAGAGTTTCAATTGAATTTCGGTAAAATAATTCTCATAAGGGCATCGAAAGAATAGAATATTTTAATCCTACTGAAAAAAATGAAAATACTGAACACCTCAAGGTGGAGGTTCCAATGCAAATTTTATATAAACCCAACAATTAGAAAATAAAATTGTTTAATATTATACGAAACAAAATTAACTTAAAAGTTGCGTCCCAATTATTTCAAACGCGTAAACGCAACATGTGAGGGACTCGGGAGGATGGTTAAGAAAAAAATATCTGCCAACGGGACAGGCCCAAAAATGAAGTGCGTAGGGGGTCCTATCGACACACGCAATAAAAACAATTATTTTTTTCTAAATTTTTTCAAAAGTCCACTTTTCGTCTATTTCAGATTTCATAGTCGAAAAAAAATTTATTCTCAGTCATTTTTATTCTAAAATGTGGACACAACATGGCGAAACAATACATTTTTAAACTAGTCTCGCCATCTATGGACGAATTTACAAACCAAGTATAGTTAATAAGAGAATACTATTAGGCATTCCAAACTGAATGGCTACCAGTGGGTTTTGACGGGTTATGATATGGCAAAATTATGGCAACCCTGTAGGCCTGGATGATTTGACAAGATCAATGAAATAGATAGTTACATAGATTGATCATCCATATTTTTCAAAATAAACATAAGCTTATGCCTTATAGTAAAAATATAAGCAATTATTTGTTTTAAATACCTAAAGGCTAAAAATTGGTTTTAAAACACATTTTTGCTAAACCGATTCAAATTAATAAATATTTACCAGACAATATGGCCGCTCGTAAACGACCAGCTTTGAGCAATCTATATAACTATATATGTATCATTGACCCTGTTAATGACAACAGGGTTGCCATATCTAAACTGTCATTACCCACTGGTAGCCATTTGGACAGGTCGTTGGAATGCCTAATTTTGATATATTTCTTGTTTTGACAACTTGTCAGTAGATGGCGCCATCAGTACAACTAACAAGAGCCGGCCATTTTCTATCCATAAAAGTTTTTTCGATTTCGCTGAAATTTGGTACAGAGAATCAAGATGTAAAACTAAATGTCGGAGTGGTGTCTGTTACTCAATATCTCTCCTCGATCAAAAGTTGAAAAAAGTTGCTCCGATTTGGAAGAAACGTTGCATGCAGTAAGTAGAAAACAAGTACGTTTGAAGAAAGTCAGTTGCAGTTCTCTAAGCTTGCTAGTTATTACAAAACAAGCCTCCACTTTTTAACCATGTAGGTTAGTGCCAAACGAACTATTTTTTTGGACGTTTTAAAGCGCATACTGTACACTGTCCGATTTTCAGCTCAATCGGAGACTATGAATTTTTCGAGAAAAATCGAAAGGGTATAGCCTTCAAAAATTTTTGCATAAAAATTTTTTCGTCTTTGATTTCGCTGAAATTTGGTACAGAGAATCAGGATGTAAAACGTAATGTCGGAGTGGTGTCTGTTGCTCAATATCTCTCTTCGTTCAAAAGTTGGAAAAAGTTGCTCCGATTTGGACGAAACGTTGCATACAGTAAGTAGAAGACAAGTACGATTGAAGAAAGTTAGTTGCAGTTCTTCAAGTTTACTAGTTATTACAAAACAAGCCTCTACTTTTTGACCATTTATGTTAGCGAGAAACGAACTATTTTTTTGGACGTTTTAGAGCGTATACTGTACACTGTCCGATTTTCAGCTCAATCGGAGACCATGAATTTTTCGAGAAAAATCGAAAGGGTATAGCCTTCAAAAATTTTTGCATAAAAATTTTTTCGTCTTTGATTTCGCTGAAATTTGGTACAGAGAATCAGGATGTAAAACGTAATGTCGGAGTGGTGTCTGTTGCTCAATATCTCTCTTCGTTCAAAAGTTGGAAAAAGTTGCTCCGATTTGGACGGAACGTTGCATACAGTAAGTAGAAGACAAGTACGATTGAAGAAAGTTAGTTGCAGTTCTTCAAGTTTACTAGTTATTACAAAACAAGCCTCTACTTTTTGACCATTTATGTTAGCGAGAAACGGACTATTTTTCTAAACGTTTTAGAGCGCATACTGTACACTGTCCGATTTTCAGCTGAATCGGAGACCATGCATTTTTTGAGAAAAATCGAAAGGGTATAGCCTTCAAAAATTTTTGCATAAAAATTTTTTCGTCTTTGATTTCGCTGAAATTTGGTACAGAGAATCAGGATGTAAAACGTAATGTCGGAGTGGTGTCTGTTGCTCAATATCTCTCTTCGTTCAAAAGTTGGAAAAAGTTGCTCCGATTTGGACGAAACGTTGCATACAGTAAGTAGAAGACAAGTACGATTGAAGAAAGTTAGTTGCAGTTCTTCAAGTTTACTAGTTATTACAAAACAAGCCTCTACTTTTTGACCATTTATGTTAGCGAGAAACGAACTATTTTTTTGGACGTTTTAGAGCGTATACTGTACACTGTCCGATTTTCAGCTCAATCGGAGACCATGAATTTTTCGAGAAAAATCGAAAGGGTATAGCCTTCAAAAATTTTTGCATAAAATTTTTTTTGTCTTTGATTTCGCTGAAATTTGGTACAGAGAATCAGAATGTAAAACTAAATGTCGGAGTGTTGTCTGTTGCTCAATATCTCTCCTCGTTCAAAAGTTGGAAAAAGTTGCTCCGATTTGGACGAAACGTTGCATACAGTAAGTAGAAAACAAGTACGTTTGAAGAAAGTCAGTTGCAGTTCTTCAAGTTTACTAAATATTACAAAACAAGCCTCTACTTTTTGACCATTTATGTTAGCGAGAAACGGACTATTTTTCTAAACGTTTTAGAGCGCATACTGTACACTGTCCGATTTTCAGCTGAATCGGAGACCATGCATTTTTTGAGAAAAATCGAAAGGGTATAGCCTTCAAAAATTTTTGCATAAAAATTTTTTTGTCTTCGATTTCGCTGAAATTTTGTACAGAGAATCAGGATGTAAAACGTAATGTCGGAGTGGTGTCTGTTGCTCAATATCTCTCTTCGTTCAAAAGTTGGAAAAAGTTGCTCCGATTTGGACGAAACGTTGCATACAGTAAGTAGAAGACAAGTACGATTGAAGAAAGTTAGTTGCAGTTCTTCAAGTTTACTAGTTATTACAAAACAAGCCTCTACTTTTTGACCATTTATGTTAGCGAGAAACGGACTATTTTTCTAAACGTTTTAGAGCGCATACTGTACACTGTCCGATTTTCAGCTGAATCGGAGACCATGCATTTTTTGAGAAAAATCGAAAGGGTATAGCCTTCAAAAATTTTTGCATAAAAATTTTTTCGTCTTTGATTTCGCTGAAATTTGGTACAGAGAATCAGGATGTAAAACTAAATGTCGGAGTGGTGTCTGTTGCTCAATATCTCTCTTCGTTCAAAAGTTGGAAAAAGTTGCTCCGATTTGGACGGAACGTTGCATACAGTAAGTAGAAGACAAGTACGATTGAAGAAAGTTAGTTGCAGTTCTTCAAGTTTACTAGTTATTACAAAACAAGCCTCTACTTTTTGACCATTTATGTTAGCGAGAAACGGACTATTTTTCTAAACGTTTTAGAGCGCATACTGTACACTGTCCGATTTTCAGCTGAATCGGAGACCATGCATTTTTTGAGAAAAATCGAAAGGGTATAGCCTTCAAAAATTTTTGCATAAAAATTTTTTTGTCTTCGATTTCGCTGAAATTTTGTACAGAGAATCAGGATGTAAAACGTAATGTCGGAGTGGTGTCTGTTGCTCAATATCTCTCTTCGTTCAAAAGTTGGAAAAAGTTGCTCCGATTTGGACGAAACGTTGCATACAGTAAGTAGAAGACAAGTACGATTGAAGAAAGTTAGTTGCAGTTCTTCAAGTTTACTAGTTATTACAAAACAAGCCTCTACTTTTTGACCATTTATGTTAGCGAGAAACGGACTATTTTTCTAAACGTTTTAGAGCGCATACTGTACACTGTCCGATTTTCAGCTGAATCGGAGACCATGCATTTTTTGAGAAAAATCGAAAGGGTATAGCCTTCAAAAATTTTTGCATAAAAATTTTTTCGTCTTTGATTTCGCTGAAATTTGGTACAGAGAATCAGGATGTAAAACTAAATGTCGGAGTGGTGTCTGTTGCTCAATATCTCTCTTCGTTCAAAAGTTGGAAAAAGTTGCTCCGATTTGGACGGAACGTTGCATACAGTAAGTAGAAGACAAGTACGATTGAAGAAAGTTAGTTGCAGTTCTTCAAGTTTACTAGTTATTACAAAACAAGCCTCTACTTTTTGACCATTTATGTTAGCGAGAAACGGACTATTTTTCTAAACGTTTTAGAGCGCATACTGTACACTGTCCGATTTTCAGCTG